TCCCCCCCCCCCCCCCCCCCAGAGCAGAGAGGTTGCTTAAACGAGCGAGGGGAGAGAAAAAGGAAAAAGAAAACAAGCAATCTCTGTAGGCAATCTCTTCTGGGCCTAACTTTTTTTTCCCCCCCGCCTCACAGAGTGGAGAGATTGGAGAGGAAGGGATTGCAAGAGAGTAAGCAGGCACACAATGGGGAATACACCGGGCTGTTTGCGAAGTGCGCTCAGAGTTTCCAGCCCCAGGTGCACTCAAGGCTGTTGGTGCCAGTGCACTGCTTTTGATGTGTATTCCCATGATGCACCTGCTTACTCTCTTGTAATCCCTTCCTCTCCAGTGAATGTAAATGCAAAGCTTAATTCTCTTCTTGCTAATTATCCCAGCACCGGGGTGAGCATTCCCAAGGACAGAGGAGTGGGGAAAAGGAGAGCCAAGTTGCACTTATGTGATTTCCCACTTAGTGACCGCTTCGCTTAACAACAGAGCTGCCGGTCCCAATTGCGGTTGCTAAACGAGGACAACCTGTATGTTAAAAAGCACCAGTCCTAAGGCCGAACCCTGGGGGACCCCGCTAGTTACATGCCTCCATTGTGAAAAATGTCCACTTACTCCTACTCTGGCTTTCTATTCTTTAATCGGTCCCTTAGCTAGCTGCCCTTTAACTCCATGGCTGCTAAACATACTGAGAAGTCTTTGATGAGGAACTTTATCAAGTGCTTTTTGAAAATCTAAGTAGATGATGTCTACTCGCTCCCCCTTATCCACATGTCTATGGAACTATGGAGTTCTCAAAAAACTCCAGTGGATGAGTTAGACCTTCCCTTAGAGAAGCCACATGGGTATCCCTGAGCAAGGCCTATGTCTCCAGATGTTTGGTAATGTTAGCTTTAATAGCAGCTTCCACTATCTTCTCTGGAACAGATGTTAAGCTGACAGGCCTATAATTTCCTGGATGTCTCCGTGAGCCCTTAATAATTGGAGTTACGCTGGCATATTTTAGTTAGAACAGTGTTTTTCAAACTTGGCAACTTTAAGATGTGTGGATTTCCACTCCCAGACTTCCCCAGCCAGCATGCTTTAAGATGGGTGGACTTCAGTATGGAGTTGAGGTCCATACATCTGAGAGTTGCCAAGTTTGAAAAACACTGAGTTGGAAGATCCACAATTTCAGCTTTAAGCTCCTTAATAACCCGTGAGTAGATGCCATCAGGGTCTGGTGATTTGTTGATGTTCATTTTATCAATTTTTCTCTTGTTACCACTAAATGACTCAGTTCATCTGCTTCCCTTCCTGAGAACAGGAGCTCAAGGATCGCCTGCAATTTTTCTCCTATGAAGACTGAAGCAAAGAATTTGTTCACCTCAAAAATTTCAGGGAGGAGAGGGTGCCCGAATGCGGCTTCCATCTCAGACAAACCTGCCTACAAACAGAGGAACCTCCGCAGATAATTTCAGCTATCACCAGGTCTATGATGATGATGGACTCATTCATCTGTTGAAAATTTCCATGCACCAGGAAGGGTGATGATAAAATCCTTTGAAGTTGAGCTTGATTCCTGCTGACTTCATGGACCTGTTCTTGTCGTTTTCTTGGTAACAACACTGAAGTGGATCTCCAGGACCTTCTTCTAGAATGCCTTTTTGACTTCCCAGTCAGGAAATCCTAGGATTTCTGGGGGTCTCCCATTCACATGCTAACCAGATCTGATCCTGTTTAGCTTCCTGAGATCAGCCAATGTTGATTGGATGCTGTACCAAGTTGTAAGTTCCTCCTCCTCCTCCTCCTCCTGCTGTCAAGGTGCCATCCTCCTTGACCTTGAAGAGACTTTGGAAGGACCCTTCCAAAACAGCACCCTATGATCATGTATAACTTAGCAGGCAAGGCTGGGCAGTTTTGCATCGCGACTGGAAAAAATCCACAATGTTTCTCAACCTGAGTTGAAAGTGAGAGTCTCACACTTCTTGACATACACAGCTGCACACTTGTATCTGTACAGAATTCCACCTTTTCATGTTTGGAATAATTTCAGCCACTCTTGCTGGGGAAGATGAAACAGGGCAGGATCCAAACAGTCCCCTCTTGTATAGGAGAGCACACAGGGGTCTGCAGGGGACTGGGCAAAATTTGCAAGATGGCAGATGCACCATCATGACTACCCACATACTGTACCCAAAGGGGGCAGGGCTTTGACTGCAAGGCAGTGCTCACCAGTTTGCAGATTTTGAATTCCATGCACGTATAATTGGTTGTAACACCGTACCTACCTTCTTGCAAAATCCTCCCAAATGTTTGATAAAAATAATGAGCAATAAAGTTATCTTAAAACAAAGCAAGAAAAGGACAGGAGCACAAACATTTCAAACAGTGTGCCTGTAATGGTATGTGGGAATGACCTTGGGAGACTTGGCGAAGAGATGCTGCCTAGGGAATGGGCAAATAAGAGGGAGCATAGCCCACAGCTACATAGTGGGTGGAGCAAGAGGCTCAGGAGGGACCCTCCCTAACTTCCCGGGCTGTAAAGGTGACAGCAGGAGATTTGTACTTTCAGACTTGCAAGATTGAAGTCAGCCTCACCAGGTAGGCCAGACAGGAAACATGATCAGATAAGCTAATTCTACTTTATTGTAAAGCTACTTTAACAGAATCGTGCAAGTCTGAAAATACAATTCTCCCGCCGTCTCCTTTACAGCCTGAGAAACTAGGGAGGGTCCCTCCTGAGCCTCTCGCTCCACCCACTATGCAGCTGTGGGCTATGCTCCCTCTTATCTGACGGTTCCCTAGGCAGCATCTCTTTGCCAGATCTCCCAAGGTCATTCCCACATACCATTACAATCCCACAGAAAGGCAATCATTCATAACACAACAACTAATCAACATGGGAAGATTCGAGAGGTCCTTTTAATTTAGATATCCTTCCCCACTCAACCATGCAAATTGGTTTTTCTAATACAGTATACCGTATCCATTCCTATTCTGCTCTTTCTCCTGAAGGACAGAGTAGAACTGTTAGGCACCACAACTAACTTGAGTTTTGAGAGTTGTGGTCCCAGGGAACCTGTGGGCAGCCTGTTGGGGAAGGTAACAGTCCAGCGTCCTGCTACCTTTACACCTTCGTGACAATGCCAACCAAAATCGATCAAGAGAAATCCCTCAAGATGGCTTGATGTTTCAGCCTTCTGTCACAAGAACAAGTGAGATCTTCTCAAAAAAACCCAGCATTTAACTGGATGTAATGACTTCAATCTGGCCAGTTCTTATGGGGTGGATTTATTTATTTATTTATTTTACTTTGGGGGGATTATGTATTCATCTGGGGAGTTAGCAGAGATCTTCACCTAGTGTTGCCAACTTTTGAAATAGATTTTTTTTTTTAAGTTGGTTTTATGTAAGCTAGCATGGCCAGAAGGTAGAGAGGCTGAAAAATGGAGTTCGGCAGTGTCTAGAGCAGGAGAGTCTGCAAAAGGGAGAGTCACAATAGTCAAGATGGCAGCCCTGGCCACCCACTCAGAACCCTGCCTTGTTTTTATGTTCATGGAAGGGGTGAAGCTTCGGTCACAGGGCCACGGACAGCATCTGAATTTCTGGCCATCCCCTTCCCCACACCCCCTCCCCCGATCCGAAGACTGTGAGTCGCCCAAAGATGTCTTTGTTGGTTTCGACATATTTCTAATTTTGACCTCAAACTCTTGTGCCAAAGAGGATGCCCATCAAAAGGGTTCTTTTTTATGTATCTTTCCAATATAGAGAAATTCAAAATTACAAGGGGCTATCAAGGTCCTCTAGTCCAGCCTCCAATTCTCAGTGGGGAAGCACAAGACAGCTCCCATCACCTCCTTCAATTATAATTTCCATTGTCTATCTGATTTTTCAGCAAAGACTTTTAATGTTCAGCCCATCCCTCCCCTCTTTTAATTTAAGACCCTGTCATCCAGTCATCTCATTTTCTCCCTCCCTCCTCTTTCCTTC